AGTTATAGCCTGATAGAATATACAATCCATATAATCGTCTTATATAGCAACTAATCAATCAGGAAGTAAAGATTAGCTATTTGTTATATCCCGACAACAATAATGGATGGTAAGTGTTGAGGTCTACTTATAGACTAATAATATACATACATTCTTATTGTATAATCGTTAATTAACTAAACTATGCATATTCATGTTCTACTTATTATAAGCTTTCTTTTGACCAATGAACTATCATTATTATAAAATTTACCGTTCTTGAGTTATCCCCAGTATATCAATTACTCCTTAGTAGTTCTTCCAGGTTTTCCATAGTGGTCTAGCTTCAATTGACTCATGATGTTATTCATTGAAATTACTATAATATCCACAAAACCCCTTCTCATATTAATATAAGAAGCATAAATCTTCATTGAATAGTCCAAGAAATTGTAATCTTGTCAGTTACTGAATGTTTGTTCTTTCTTTTCAAAGGAATATCAATAATGAATATCACTATAAATGTTTCTGTGAGTGATTTAACGTACAATATTATTTACTTACACCCTATTACCCCTATCGAGAGGAGTATAGCTCACTCATCAGCACTTTCCATCCAACTCTATCTTGGGAAATCTTTCTCAGTTCTTTTCAATTGTTATTCATCTTTCTCATATCTCCTTCCAATGTCTGGAATTCATCTCCCCCTTGATCATAGAAATGACTAAGAAACAAGAAGAAAAATGTAATCATGCGAGTTTGTGGGTGGATATGCTCGGTGGTGTTGTGAAAACCAATAAAAAACATTCTCATACTAAATATCTAGTTGAGAATAACATCACCGGGTGTTTTTCACCCTCACGCGCTTGATAAGTCATCTTTTGTGATGAAAATATAAACAGGAAAACAACAACAGTAAGTTATAATGTAATATTTCACTTCATTTATTTATATGATTAGTATGCTAATATTAATTATGACGATCAAATCAATAATCGATTCATAGTGTGGTGTATACTACTGATGTCAGTAGATATAAGTAGTATGTATCATGATTTGAAAGTGAAATACCTGGCGGTAGAAAGTTAAGAAGATCAAAGAAAACAAAACGAGAACAAAGAATGATTAGTGTGGAAATGAAGAAACAATCAAGTCTGAGACGATTAATGAATTATTTACTGTATGGTTCTCAGATTTCAGTAATTCATTCTATCAATTTGTATTCACATAGGTTTGGTTGTCCACATTTGTGTTCACCTTCACCAAAACAGCACCTGTTTGATTAGGAGATGAATATTGTCAGTTATATTGTTGATACTAGTGTGTTTTGTGCTACTGATATCGATGTATATAAGTAGTATGTATCATCATTTGAAAGTCGAATGCCTGAAGACAGGAAATTAAGAAGATCGAAGAGAAGAGAAGAGAACGAGAACAGAGAACGATTGATGTGGAGATAAAGGAACAATGAAGTCTGAGATAATTGATGAATATTTTATAAATGAAGTATTTACTGTATGGTTTACAGATGTTACCAAGATAATCTGTAATGTTGTATTCAAATATTATCGATTTTCCGCATTTGTGTTCTCCTTCACTACAATAACACAAGAGATTAGGTATAGGAAATGCATTTTTGGATTAGAAAATAATGTAAAGGTCAAGAGTCAATTCGTCCTGTCTGATACTTGTTAACTGGATGTGCCTGCATCCGAGAGTTAGTGTTCACTTCTGAACTCGAAACCAGTATCGTTCATTTCAACAAATGCCATCGCGTTATCCACTTGGTTACTGAGTGTCAGATTTCACGATGATATTCTGTCATTTGATGACGAAATACATTTGGTTGTCCTCACTTGTGTTCTCGACCACTGCAATAATAGATCTGTTCAAATCTTAATTAAATGCATTTCATAAGATTGAACAATGTGTGACATAAAGATATAAACATTTGTGTAATTCCTAAAACGAGGACTCATATTCGAATCTCAGTGAATTCCTCTCTGCCTCATTAAATATCATCATCATACTTTTCTACTTGTTTGAATTCAAATGGATTATGCAAATATCGATTATACATTTTGATGTGATGTAATGTGATGTGATGAATCGTGTGGAAACGTAACTCGTAGGAGCATCTCACAAAGGATTCCGGTCTATATTTTGATTGTGAAATTAGTAAACGATTAGACTGTTATATTTTTTTATTCTCCTATCTCTAAGCTTTCGTTTGACTAATAAATCGCTGTTATGTCTTATTGTTCCATTGTATCATTTATGACTGAGTTGTGTACATTTTGTACTTCAGCGATTGTAATGCTCTATGGTCAGATATTTTATGTATGTTATTGTATAAGCTTTGAATTATGACTGAATAGAGTACAATAGAGAAATAAACTAGTTTATATCTACGTGCTTCGATTGTCTACTAGGTTAGTGGGAGCTTCAGGACCAATGAGCATAAAAGTCTTGGTTGTTATTGTTATTGTTGATTGGTCAGTGTGTCAATTGATGCCTAGAAGATCAACGACCCAATTGATCATATAAATGAGCTAGTCGATAATCAGAGTAGAGAGCGGGGGAGAGAGAGAGGTTATACAACTGCTCTTTGGTCATTACGGTCTGATTAAGCGGGATTCAGTAAAATCTGGGCAAGCGGTTTGTTTATTCCCAACATAACAAATTTCCACTGATGTTAGCATTATAAGCAGTTAGACTTTACAATGTATATTAATATAAAGTACGATGTGAGGAAAGATGAAATATAGGATATATGTATAAGTTTGATAATCATTTCCTGAGGAATTTAGAGACATTTTGACGTTTTTTGACTAAGTAAATCGTCAAAATATTTGAAGTATTCAATGTTTGGACTAATTTAGAACGGTTAATCAGACTACTTCAACAACAAGAATAAATGGACACTTCTACTAATCATGGAACTATGATTGTTTCTTGAAGTGTCTTGTTTCGCTTTGAATGTCCTTGAGAACACAGAAGGCTTGTTACGTATTTTAAACTTTCTCCATGGTTATTCCTTTAAAAAGTGAATAGAAGTGAACTATGACTGCAGTCAGACAAGGTTGCTTACTCTCCCTCTTTCTCATTCTTCTGGTGGTTCACTGGATTATAAAGACCCCCTAAATATGAGGGGAGGCAAGGAATACAACGGACAGCTCGACGATTTGCACTTCACAGATGACCAAGCCCTTATATCCCAACAAGTCAAGATGAAGACAACCATTTTAGTATCAGTAGGTCCCAACATACACAAGGGAAAATGCATCATCCTCAAATACAACACGCAAAACACCAAACCAATCACACTTGATGGATAAACTCTGGGAGAGGTGGAATCTTCCACATATCTGGACAGCATCATCGATCAACAATGAAGGATCCGATGCAGATGTGTTGAATGTGTATTAACCACTAAACATCAACTTAGTTATCATAAGGTTAATATCCTTGAATTGAATTTTCAGTTTTGTAATGGTTATGAGCTAATGAGAAGTATTGACAAGAGTCGAACATCACTTCAAACCTTTTTTTGCATGTTATCAAGTTGGAATTTGTTACTTAAATCTTACACTAAAGAACAAGCAAGTAAATTTTAGCATATGGTTAACTTGAATGGATTATTTAAAACGAATATATACATATATATACTGAATTGAATCACACTAATTTCAATTAGCTTCTAGACGAAATATACCCTCAAATGCCTTGATACATCCGAGGTTGTGGGGAGACAGCTCTCTCTCCCTTTAAATGCTTTCACATGACCACGCGTATTCAGCAAATTTTGGAGAATTCCTACTAACTGGATTCTCGCACTTCGGGTGTTGTTTACAAAATTAAGAGGATGAAAAGTAAATGTCCGGGGGGAGGTTGAAACAGGTTGGTAGGAACGGAGGGTTCATTTATGGGGGTTAGAAAACCCTGATTCCAAATCAATGGGCTCAAGGATACTGGAAAAATCAAAAACGTATAAATCAATTCTTCGTCATCGGCTAACAAGGGACCGTATCTCCTGATGTTGCTCCACTTCCTTGTAGATCAGAACTTTAGGTCGAAGGCTTCGAGTGTGTTCCCCTAAGAAAACCACTTGCTTCGGTTTGGGCACCAGGATAGTATCTCGGCCCGGATACAAATCAAGTGACTTGTGTGACACATATGTATTCGGTACCCCTTTGTACCAGTATTAATGTGTTCAAATAATCATAGAATCATTGATGAAAAGAAGCAAGCTATACATTAGAATCATCGTTTTTTAATGTTTAACAAAATGGGAATATCTATCAGTTTCGATAATATTTTTCCTCATTTATCCAGTAAATGAGTACTATATGAAGGAATATAATTTTCACTAGGGATTTCATTGCATCAGATTGGAGATATGTAGAGGTTATAGTAATTTTAATGGTTGAATTCATGTGTCTTTCTAAGCTAGATCACCATTCAGAACCTAAGTAGAAACAGTTATCCACCTAAGACAATGAATGAAGAGTTGCGTAAACTCATAGATCGAATGAAGTTAGACACTGATAACGTTGAATGCCGGCTCAGTGATATAAAAGTTAAACGTTCGTTTGTGAGACTGGGACCGAATTCCACGTAGGGGGATCGTGGATGTGTATTGCTGAGGATTCCCATACTAGGACGAAACGGCGGTCTAGTGCTTCCAGGTTTTCAATGATAATCTAGCTTAAATCGACTCATGAATTCAACTATTATGTTTTCATTTTAATCACTTAAGGTTATCTTAATATCTAATATCTATAAACATGCTATTAAAGCGCATCTCAAAGTGAATGTTAGGGCTTTCGTTGATATCCTCAGTGGAAATTACACTTTTTTATATGAAGCATTCACTCAATAATTCTATAGAAAAATGTTAGATATTGAACACATCATAAACATTGAAACGCAGCTATGCTAAAAATTCATAGACACTCATCCTATCCCGAATAACTGATATCTATCTGTTGAACTAAATTCCACAGTCCATCAAACTAGACATGTATGACAATAATGAAGATGATGATGATGGTGATGATGATGATGATGATGGTGATGATGATGATGATGACGATGATTTGGATGCTGATAATGATTTGGATGATGATGATGATGATGATGATGCTTTGGATGATGATGATGATGCTTTGGATGATGATGATGAAGATAACGATGACGATGACGATAATCGATGCTGTATTTAATAAATTAAGAACATGTATCATGTATGTTATTGACAAGATTCATTCCTTTTGAAATGTACTCCGGATATACAACAATGTGTATGAATCAATGTACAATTAGAATATTAAAAAACTGATATCATGATTCGCTGAGACTATAATTTATAGACGAATCAACTAGATTTAAGATAACAGGTCTTGGATTTCGCTGCTAAATCCATCTATCCATTTGGCTACACAACATTTCGTCATTATAGCTAATATCAGTTCATAATGGAAATCATTAAATCTAATTCCTAACCCCTAACCATCAATTATAAATCATAATCTTTATTGCTTCATACAGATTTATAATCTTTATTTAGCCCTAGTAAGTAGGTGAACATTCTCATGGTCACTTTAGAGTCATTCAAAGATCGTCCATAAATTAGAGTCTCATCTTCTATGACTAATACATGAATCTAAGTTAAATGTTCATTATATACATATAGGTATAGATGAATAATTGTGTTACCGACCTTTTGGACAAAACAAAAAGTAAACTGACTTATGGAAACAACATCATTATTTGTATTATTGTTGTTGTTGTTGTTATGGTTAGTGTGATTGTGGTTGTTAAATATAAAATAAATTTCTTAATATGAGTTTAAGTTAAAGCCAAAGGTGGCCAGTTTTTATAAAATAGATGGTATAGAAGGAGAAAAAGTAAGTCAACCAAGCCCTACTCATGAAGTGTTGAATGTGACAAGTTAACTAACTAACCTGTAGACCACTGACCCGACATCCAACACTGTTAATGTTTAACTTCAATTAATCCATAAAATTGCTCGGCTGTCCACTATTGTATTCAGTGAGTAAATATCACACAACAGACCCGATTGATTTCCACTAGTCTATGATTCTCACTAGAACTCCAGGAAATACCTCATGAAGCCCGCCATTAGTGAGCATATGCTGAGATGGATAGTGGCTAGTAGTAGAATCCAGGACGCGAGTTTCGTCCTATATGGGACTCGTCAGCTAGATGTACTTGCATCTCAGAGTTGATGCTCATTCTGGGTTTCGCACCCAACAACGTTCGATAACCACCATTCATCTATGCTTATAATGCTTGTAAATTAAGGTAATATCGGGGTAATCCGTACTGTATGCACATACACCAATCAAATACAGTCCTAAACATCAACAGGAAGATTCAAGTAAAGCAATCCCAAATGAGCATATGCTGATTAGCATCAGCAAATTAATTGTTAAAGGAAAATATTAGAACATTAGAAGACATTCAACAACATCACAAACAGAACTGACGATAACTAGCAGTGAAGTATAGGATGCGCGTTTCATCACATTTCGGAATCGTCAACTGCATGTAACAGATTAATCAATTTCAGTCCCAAACATCAATGGGAAGATTTAAATAACCAATGCAAAATGAGTTATTTTACTATTTTGTTCTTTGTAGCACTTGTAATCGTTTATGGGTAACAATCGAGTGGGTGATTAGTCCGATCTCTACCATCCAATTTACCGTTCCTGTTAATTCATGGAACAAATTCAAATATCTAAAAGGCAAAACGATGACGTATCCGTCGTGTTTTATCGTTAACAACATTATTATTGGATAGACAAACCAAACGGATTTGTTGGTTAACATATTAAAAGTGATTGATAGGTCCTGAGTTCGAATTTCCAGTCTATGATTATTCTTCGCCAAAGTTCCTGGAAACCAAGAAAACATTAGGAAATGAATAATTTATTCAGTATTGAGTAGATGCTTCTTAGATATATCTAGAGAAATTCTGTTTATAGAGGATTCCTAAAGATCAGGGTTATATGCAACTCAAAATGGACTCTTGATTTCCTGAATATGTACCAAAATTGGGGTAGAGCTTTTAAATTTCGCACCTTACCTCAATTGTTAGAGTTTACTTGTCAAAGTAGTATAGGGTTATAGGACTTACTTACTTACTTGAGCTTGTTACCCCCCAATGGAGCATAAGCTTCCAACCAGCATTCTCCAGCCCAATCTATCCAGAGCCTTCTTTTCTAATTCTATTCAACTGTTGTTCATTCTTCTCATGTCTGTCTCCATTTCTCAATGTAATGTGTTCTTTGATCTTTCTCTCCTCCTTTGGCCTTGAGGATTACAGATAAGAGCTTGACTTGTGACACAGTCGGGTGCTTTCCTCAATATGTATCATATCCACTTTCAGCGCTTCTTCCTATTTAAGATTATAGGAAGTGGCTAGTTAGTTAGTAGTAAGTGTTTCCGGTAGCAAACTTACCAACCTGGTGTCCAGTCTATCAGAATAGTGATATTCGACAACTTTTGGTATTTTACAATATCCACTGGTAACATTTGTCTCATACTAAGCCTAAGAACTGAATTGAAGTTTAGAACATGATCTGTATAATGGTTTTTTTCTTAATCAGTAGTTCTTTTGAAGGATTACGAACTTCAAAAGACCTATCAGGCTAGACCACCATGAAAAAACTTGAGGCATATTAACATCTTTGAATGCCAGCCAGCTCAGTGTTCTAGCGGTTAAGCGTTCATACATGAGACTTATGGTTCCTGGGTTCAAATCTCACGTGGTGGGATCGTGGATGCACACTGCTGAAGAGTCTCATACTAGGACGAAACGGCCATCCACATGAATTCAATTATTGAAACCAAATTACTACAATCTTTACAAAACCCTTGTTTGATAGATTAATAATTTGTGATATGAAAATCATACAAAAAAAACTTGTCTTTTACTTAGCAACTAATGATCATGCCAAAACCATTAAAGAAAGAATTTACTTATGTGAATAATAAGAACAATAATAGTATCAATCAATGAATTGTGCATGATTATTGATTTTGTGCAACGTGTATAAAAATGAATAGAACCATTCACTATGCTGTTTTTTTCTTTGTATTTTGTCTTAACAAGAATGAAAGTTGACATGTTCAACAAATTCATCAATTGTTTCTTTAGTCTTAGATTATGTTCTTTATGTAAACATCGACTAATCTTTTATGTGTTGAAAGTATTGCCTTAAGGTAATTGTCTTAATTCACAAGGTAGCAGTGGAGTCCAGTTTGACGAGCGTTTCGTCCTATTTGGGACTCGTCAGCTGTATGTAACTGTATGACATCTGAAACAAACTGCACTAAGTTAGAGTCTCATAGTGAAAATCAACAAGTTTTGGGATGCAGGTATAATGCGCTGACTTGTCTTGAATAATACGAAACACGCGTCAAACTGGATTCCATTGCTAGCCACTATCCATCTTTGCTTTGATTATCGTTATTGAGGTTTCAAGGGAATATTAATTCACCTTATAAGGATTGCATTATATCCCATACTGTTATTATTATGTGTACATAATATGATTCCGCTCGTTTCTGTATTTATTTTTTTGACATTTACGTTATTCCTGATTGATCTCAAACTTTACCTTCATTTTATCATTTTGTTATTATATGGGTGAATACAGAATATCAATGGTTAAGATCATGAGTCAGTTGACGCTAGACCACAATGGAAAACCTGGAGGCAATGGTCGGCCGTTTCGTCCTAGTATGGGACTCTTCAGCGGTGCGCATCCACAACCTCGCCCCCTGAGAGATTTGAACCCATGACCTGCTGGTTTCGCGCACAAGCACTTAACCACTAGACCACTGAGCCGGCATACAACGGTGTTAATGTATAACTTCAACTAATCCACGAAATTGGGCGACACACCCATGCGCGAAACCAGTAGGTCCTGGGTTCGAATCTCTCAGGGGGCGAGGTTGTGGATGCGCACCGCTGAAGAGTCCCATACTAGGACGAAACGGCCGACCATTGCCTCCAGGTTTTCCATTGTGGTCTAGTTTCAACTGACTCATGATCTTAACCATTGATATTCTGTATTCACCCATATAATAACAAAATGCTGGAGAAACTCCGGAATAGGTGGAAACATTCACATACCTGAGCAACATAATCAATGAACAAGGAGGATCTGATGCATACGTAAAGGAAATTATTGGAGAGGTAAAGACAGTATTTCAACAACTGAAAAACTTATGGAACTGAACAAAAACGCCAACCAGTATGAAAGTCAGAATGTTCAATACGAATGTCAACACAGTTCTACTGTATGTAGTTGGAACTTGAAGAATTACCGCAAGTATTATCAAAACGGTACAAGTATTTCTAAACATTTATCTACGTAAGATGCTGAATGTCCGTTGACCGGATACCATCAGCAACAACCTACTGTGAGAGAGAACAAACTAGCTTCCAACTGAAGAAGAAATTAAGAAAAGACATTAAAAATGGATAGAACATACATTGAGTAAATCATCAAACTGCAACATGAGACAAGTACTTACCTGGATTCCTGAAGAGAAATAGAAAAGAGAAAGACTCAAGAACATACTTCTTCGGGAATCGGAAGTAGACATGAGAAGAGTGTATGGAAACTGGAAGCAACTTGAAAGGATATGCAAAAATCACAATGATTAAAAACGACTGGCTGTATCACATACTAAGTTGAAATCAACCATCCACACTAAATGATTCCACATGAGATTCCATACAGTAACTTCATGCTTAAATCAAAGTGTGTTGATTTCTATACCAATGAATTGAATTTCAGAAGCTCAACTTTTTATTCTTGTTATTAAATGATCATTACTTGAAATGAAGAATGGGAAGCTTTAGATAGATCCAATTGAAGGGGTTTTAAAATTAGATGAGTATCATAACTTTCTATGACTTATTTTCTGATATAGTCGTCTATGCGTCCAAATGCCGTCATACAGCCGAGAGTGGGCAGAGTTAACTATCCCTCTCGAAATGCTCTCTCATGGCCACGTGCATACAACCAATACCAGGGTAGTCCTACTTATTGACTTCTCGTGGCGGGGGTGTTCCTTTTACGAAGTTGAGGGGACCAAAAACGAATGTCCTGCACTTTAACAGGGTTAGTCGACACCGAGGATCTACCCAGGGGAGTTGGAAAGCCCTGATTCCAAACGAATA